CAAGAAGAATGCAAGCTTGAGTCAGTACTCCCAAGCTGGAGGGCCTTCAAGGACAAGCCCAACAATGGCCTTTGTGCATTTCATATCAAAAGCAACCGATAGAATGCACTCTGAAAATTGGAATTTGTTTTTATATTCCCAGCAACCAGAAAAATGCCTACTACACTGTAGACAGATGGTGATGATGATGATGATGATGATGATGATGCTGATGATAGGATTTATATACTTCTTTAAGGTTAGCATAAGGCTTTGTAGATATTATCTCACAACATGATGAGATGGACATGATCTTCACAACAATCCTAGGAGGTAGACACTATTATTACTCCCATTTTACATATAGGGAAGCTGAAGCAAATAGAACTTCAGTGATTTGCCCAGAGTCCCACAGTTAGGAAATATCTGAGCCTGGATTTGAACTCAGGTATTCCTGAGTCCAGGTTGAGCATTTTCCTCACTGTACCACCTACCCACCATAACAAATGATTGAATTGAATTGCATCACCTTATGTTACATTACATTTTGCTGTATTTCAGAGAATTTAATAGCTCTACCATATTTGGAAAGACTCAGGACTAAGAGGTTAGTTACCTGTGGATTCAATATTTTGGCTACAGGAACTTACAAAGAATATGTCATAAGATGTGGCTGGCAGTACAATAAATTGAAGGGAGTATGGTTATTTATGAAATTATCGCTCTTTTAAAAAATAAGTAATATATGTACATGTACATGTACATATATAATTATATATATATACACATATGTGCATGCATTTATACACATACATATATGTGACAGTGTATTCACAACTCTTTCAAAGTAAACAAAAAAAAACAAATTTTAGTCATACTCAGATGAATAGAATAGTAATGGGAAGAAAAAAGTAAAGCATGCAGTAAGGGAAGTCACTGTATGCCGCATGGTATAGTGGGAAAATAATTGAATTTGGAATCAAATGAGTTGGGTCCAAATCCTGCTCTGCCACATAGGAGCTATGTCATGCTAGATAATACATTATATCAATAGGGACTCACTTTTTTTTATCTGTGAAATACACAATATGGACTAGATGACCTCTGAGATATCTTCAGATTTATATCTATGATTGTTGGATCCTAAGTATGGAGAAGGCATCTGAGCTGGAGAAAAGGAAGATTGGGGAGAAAAAGGGAAAGTCCAGGGGTCTATGGGGGAAGGAGAAGGCATCTGTGTAGAATTAATAGGCTCAGTGTTCAAAGGATCAAGGAGAAGAACAGTGTGAAGGCTTACCCCTTCTTTAATTTCAGTTTCGCCTAAGCTGACTTTTAGGTGAAATAAGGAAATAAGAGGGAAGGTCAAAGAAGTAATGGAAATGGAATCCCAAAACCAAGCTTCTGACGAGTAATGTCATGTATCTCATTCCATGTACTCTCTCCCACTCATACATTCCTCGTCTTTATTTCATTAAAATGTTCTTGTAAGAGAAGTGGTCCAGGTCTCTTCATGAATCTAAATCTCTTTGCTGTATCCAATAGCATTGCCATGCAGAGTGCTGCAAACTCCTAAATATGGTTACCACATAATTGTATACACATATTCCTGGAAAAAAATCATGTTTGTATCCATATGCATATTAAGAAACTAGATGCCCAATAGAACTAAATATCAAAAAAGGCTGCTATATACTCTTCTCAATTGAAAAAGCTTCGTTATAATACCATTATGAATGACAGCAAAAATCTTTGGAATGACTTCTGACAAGAATTGCAGTCAAATTCTGAAATGTTAAAAACCTGTGATTAATGTTGCTTTCTCATCTAACTGCAAATAGTACTCTGTAAACCACAGGTCACAATTTGAATAGCTGAAATGTTTTTCGAGTCCACGATTAAATGGACCTTTCATTATTTTTAAAAGATTGCTATGTAACCAAACTTAGTGCTATGTAACTGGCATTTAGCATGTTCAGTTAAGAGTAGGCACTGGCTACCTCAGCATACCTGTCGAGAAGGACCAGAAAACTGTTAAAATTGGCTGAAATTTACAGGTCCCAATGGTGGCAGTCATCCACATCTGTTTCAGTGAAAAGAATCAGGCAAACAGACCTTACCAATGGTATCTAAATCCCATAGGGTTTCCAAGGGATAAGGGATAGAATAAGAGTTTGATGTAACTTGTTTTGAGTGCTTGGAATTCAGGGATTTGGGGATTTGGTTTATCTCTTTCTGTCTCTATAACTCTGTGCCTCTGATTTTCTTCTGTTTATCTCTGTCACTCTGTTTATCTCTTTGTCTCTGTCTTTCTGACTCTGTCTCCTTCTCCTTCCTTCCCTCTCCTCTGTCTCTTACCTTCTGCTTTTCTCTATGGTCTCTATTTCTATCTCTCTGTCTCACCCTCCCCAGTTTGCTCAGTGGATACTAGTCTCAGTCTTGCATTCATTGTTGCTAAACCTTCTTAATCTTCTGGGATATTTCAAAGATCTAAAGTCCCATGGGACTTGGAACTCCTGGAAGTTTATTCTGATGTGGAAAAGCCAATGATGGTATGATTAGAATTGATTAGACACTTGAAACCCATTTTCCACTTTAGATCGAGTATCAATTCTCCTGGGAAACCTCTACCCCAAGAGTTTTTCCATCCACAATTATCTACATCCTGCCCAAGTGAAATTTGTATGGTAAAGTAAATGGTCATTTAACTCAGCAGTCATTGAACACCTTGATCCAATTGGTTAGGAAATAGAAGAAATCAAATAAGTGGGTTTAATAAAAAAGTCGGACCTAAGAGAAATCTTGTAATGAGCATGGATCAAATGCTTCCTCTACCCTAGTTTTTACTTTAAATGGGTTTCATCAAGAGAAAAAGAAACCTTTTTAGCATAGCAAATGTTCTTTTAAATATTTTTTTTTCTCAATTGTGACTTTCTTAGCCAATAACATGCCACTTTTCTCTTCCATGCTCCTGTGGAGTTAAGGTCACCAAGGTTGCTTGGCAAACCTCCGTTCTGATATTTATGCAGTGTGGAGAAGTGTAAGAGAAGAAGAAAGAAAAACAAACAAAAAGGCATTCACCCTGCTAACCAAATGACCCTTTTCAACATGAGAGCAGAATTCACATTCATCGAGAGGTACATCAAGAGAGGAAATATGAAATAGTTGGTAGATAAGCTTCAGAGTCAAGATGTCATAGATTCAAGTCCCATCCCTGAAACATACTGCCCCTGTGACAATGAAAAAGTCACTTAGCTTCTCATTTCCCCAGAGAACTGTGTTTGAAGAGAGTTGGGCTATAATGGTAGAAAGGATTTCTTTGCTGGGGGTTCTTTACATTTATGGAATCATAAGAGAGACAGAAAAAGAGAAAGAAATATAGATAGTGGCAGAGACACTAGACAGAAACAGAGAAATAAAGATAGAGACAGAAAGACTGAGAGACAGAAGCAAAGAAAGATGTATCAGGAGACACATAGAGACACAGAGAAAGGAGAGAAGCAAGACAGATAGTAATCTAGAAATAGATAAAGCAAGGCTTAAGTAAGTTTTGGTCAGTCACTTTGGTGCTTTTTGAGAAAACAGTCACTTTAAAAAATGATTATGATATCTCATCATGACATAAAGGGGAACTTAACTTTTCAAAGGGTTGTGAGAATGGATCAAAAGGTCTGGCAAATTCTACCAATCTGGGAAAGCCTTCAAGTATTGGCCCAAGAATGGATTATGTCTCTGTCAAATAAGTCATTTCTTAGCCAAGGTAAACATGATCATCAGCTTGTACTGCAGACTGCTGAAATCTTTGGCTCCAGCAGCATTCAAAAGCCATCCAAGTCCTACAAGATGTACTGTGCTTTAGCTCCTGGATTTATCATTGAAGGAAGAATATAGATGGAGCATCCACACTAGGGAAATCACAGCTCCATGAAGAATTGCACAGTATTGAGTAAAGGCACATTACAAAGCCACCTAAAGATCTTGGTTCTGCATCTGTTGGCACCACATTCACGGACTTGAGATACTTCATTTTCCACAACCTCCTTCCACCCCCACCTCCAAAAAGCTCCCTGAGATTAGAATTGATGGATTCTCATTTCCATTCTTTTCCAGCTGTATTGCCACTACTTGTTTGGAAATAACATCTGTTTGAGCTGAAGGAATCTTGCAAGTGTCTCCATATTTCCAAAATTACTAGAGGTTAGCTTGTTAAGCATTTTAATTGATGCAAACAGACCCTGGCTTTATGGAAGAATTTTTCAAGAATGAATTTAATTTCTTGGTGGTGGGAACACTACCCCCAAATGTTTCAATACCCATTGCCTTCTCTGAGAGAGAGCTTTCTAGGGGAAATACTCAGAAGGGCTTTTTTTTTTTTCAGAAAACAGTTTATTGGGGGTCAGGTTTGAGGGAGAGGCAGTAGGTCAAAAACATGAACGGTCCCTGGTATGCCATCTCCTGGGGAAAAGGCCATTTTACTTAGACTCTAAATTTCATCTAAGGCCATGCTTGGCATTGATCATGATGAATCTGAGTCATATATTTGTGTCTATGCGTTGACCATCCTTGGTGGGCAGTTGATGGGAGACAGCTCATAACCCTCAGAAGAAACCCAGCACAGTTTCCCCATACTGACACTTGGGATAGATGGCCAAGGGGCAGGTAGGCATGGATTCTGGGCTACTCTCTTACCCCTAGAGCTGGTCTCTCCAGGTCAGGGTAGAAGCACATTGGTGAGGCAGAGTGGGTAAGGGCGCCCTCGTGCTGCCCACACTGCATCTGCTCTATAGATAAATACAGGACTTTAATGCCTTGGCACTTTTTACAATCATAAAAAATCACTTAAATTTGTTCTTTTACAAAAAAAAAAACACAAGAAAAGCACTGTAAAAAAACCAAATCTATGTTATGTCTCTAAGCTATATGAAAATGATTCATATTATTTGTAAGAAAAAAATCCTAAAAAAATCTCAGAGCTCAATTCTTGACTTTGAGCTTCCTTAAGGAATAGGATAAAAGCTATGGACCTCTTTTGGTGTTTCCTGATGGCAGCGGTTGCTGTTCCACCATAGTTCCAGGGCTGCCACCAGGCATGCAAGGAGAAGGCCCACAGCAAGGATGCAGAACACGCCAGCAAAACTGTGTAGTTTCAGGGACTTGCCATCTGTCTGAGCACTTGTGTGACTATTCAGGTCACAGCGACCCATACGTGGCCACCATTTTTGTTTGAGAACATCCAAGTCACCAGTATCCTGTAGCTCCAGGATCCTGAAAGATAAGATCAAAAATGGTCATTAACAGTGGAAAATGACACTGAGTACCTAATTATTTTTTATGCTAAAGTTGTGTTTCTTATCTAATTTTAGCATGGCTGGAGGAGGGTGACTACTACAAACAGTGGTAGGATTAATACTGCTGCCACCGTCATCTCCATAGTCACCACCATCAGCAGCAACTTCACCATTATCACCACCACACCACCACCACCACCACCACCACCAAATGCAACACAATCACCTTCTTCGTTGCTACCACCATCATTATTACTGTTAACATTATTATCTTTATAAATTAATTAATTATAATTCATACCCCTTTGCTCTGTGGTTAGGAAAAAAAAAGTCATTGGAATTACCCATAAAACTGGGCAGTTCCAATATTATCATGATGATTAATGCTATTTCCCAGAATTCACTATCCAGTTCTGGGCCAGAAATCTTGCCAAATGTCAAACAGAATAGCAATCAAATTCTCAGACTCTGGGACATATCAATAGCCTTTGAAAAGAATCACATCCCTGCCATATTTTTTTTTCATGGCTATACAAACTCTCTTGATAAGATGCCAACATGCAGGGCTCCTGGCACTCAGAAGCCCTTATATTCCTCAATTAATCATTTGGCATTTTAACCTTTAACAACTAAATATTTAATCTAATAAACACCAACTATTTGTAATGAACTGCAGATACAAAGAGAAATTTTTTTTTTTAAAAAGTATTTGCTGTCTTGAACTCTTATGTTTCTGAGATTGGGAACCACATCTCTTTCAAAAGGATTTATTCTTAGAACCCAGAAAAGATATTTTGATATGCATGGGTACACTTTCAACCTGGTGATGGCTGGGCTTCTTTATTGTAGGAAAAGTAATTGCACATGTAACCATTACCACATGTAACATTAAACCCCTACTTAACCATTGGTGAGTGGGTCACTGTGTCCACAATTAGCTAAATGCTGGCATAAAGGGGAAATGTTGGTGTCCTTCCTCTTAGACATCTTTTCCCTACAAAGGTGATGAAGTCAAATTGTGAATTCTCTATCTGGAAGTCTGGATCCACAGAAAGAATCTGGATGGGATTGAAAATTGGAGGGAGTGTTGTTTACCTTTGCTCTTATCTTTGTCATTCAGCTTGCATTATGGTCTTGGAACTCCTTCAATTCCATTGCATTCAATTAAAAACAATGATTAAGATCATAAGCTGTGGTAACCACCAGGAGCACAGATACAAAATTCAACAGTCTCTGCCCTTTAAGTGCTTATCTTCTAGAGGATGAATATAACGTGGATCTAAGTATATAAATGCATATCTACACAAAGGAATGAAAAGCAATAACCAGGAGCACATATTAACACCTGAGCGATTCAGGAAGAGTCATAAGAAGAAAATGGCAACTGATTTCTGCTTTGAAGGAATCTAGAGATTCTAAAAGGCAAAAAAAAAAATGAGGAAGAAACATATTGTAAATTTTGGTGAGAAGAAACAGACAGAGGAAGGAGTTAGAATGTCTTCTAGTAGGCACAATTGCCCCCCAGCCTACCAAGTGTGACTGGGTTGTATGCTACAGGAAGGAAAGTAATATGAAGTAGGTGGGAGCTCTAATGCAGTTGGGGGAGTGAGGTCAGAGGAAGAGTTCTTGACAAAATCCTTTCCTGCCTTAGTTTCTTTTCTACTCTTCTTTTCCCATAAGTCACATGTCCTTCTTCCCAGTCTGAAGTGCAGTGGACTTTTGGAGGCCACCCTGTTGTAACCCCAAACAATCTCATCTAACCCATCTCCTTGTAATATGGCTGTGTTCATGGATCTGCACTGCAGAATGAGAGAAGTCTCTACGAATAAGCAGTGAGTTTTCCTTATGTCTGTTTTTTGACTGTAAAAGTATATGATTTACACCCACATATCGTTGGTGGTTGGTTTCAGGTTGCCATTAGCAGCATATTTCCCCTGAGTCCCAAATTGTGTGATTAACTGGGCAGCTTTAATGCTGAACTATATAAATGAGTCTCATAAACACGGATTAGGGACTGCTGTACATTTACATAGAAAATGACTGACATTTACTCTCTCTCGCTCTGACATTAATTAAACATTTGTTTCAAGGACTGAGTAGTTGCTGGCAATTACTATTCCAGTTTTCTTTCATCATTGTACTGAATTCAGAAACACCCAATGCTTCATAGAAGAATGCACATTCAATCATCAATTCATTACAGAGAGAATGAGACAGAGACAGAAATCAAATGTGAGGGGCCATCTTGGTAAAGTACGGCAACTTCTGCAGAATAGACTGGAACAGAGAGTAAGGGCAGTAAAATGAACAAATTTTCTGAGAGCTGTGGGCCACCACCAATAAATTATAAAATTAATTGAAATTCATCATCGTCATCATCATCATTATAATTGGTAGGCCATTAGACAATGCTCTATTGTTTTCTAGAGTTCCCTAAATCCTATCATAATAATCAAAGTCATGATTAAAAACATAAATGTGCTTTGTATTACCACTCAGCATCAGAGGCAAGAGATGTGAGCAAGACTGAGGTTACCATCCTTTATAGTCAGAGCTATAATTAGCGTGTGGTGATTAGGGCAATGGCCTAAGCCAATAGAATTTAGAAGGAATAATACTTTAACATAGGAACCCCTTTGGGAGCTGGAGAGTACTATAGCAATGAATCTCTTTTGGTACTCCATGATTTTCGTCCTGCTTACTTTTGTTAATTTTACATTTTGAATTACAAAGTTGATTTATATTTTATGTTATTTGCCCCAGATGAGTCTAAGTTTAGTGCAGCTTAACCAATGTGTCAAAACACATAGTTAAAATTCTTTGTATATTGAAGTAGTTAGGTAGATAGTGGATACAACACTGAACTTGGAACTGGGAAAACCTGAGTTCAAATTCTAACTCAGAAATTTGCTAGCTGTGTTACCCTGACCAAGCCAAGCAATCTTTCAGCCTCAGTTTTCTCATATGTAAAATGCAGATAATAAAAGTGTCTGTCTCACAGTGTTGCTGTGGTGATTAAATGAGATGATTCATTAAAGTACTTTATAAATCTTAAAGTTCTACATAAAAGTAGTTTAATAGTAGTAATAGTTGTAGTAGTAGGAACAGGAACAGCAGCAGTAGCAGCAGCAGTAGTAGTAATAGTATTTATTACTGGTTGCATAGAACCTGTTCATAGAAAAAAAAATCTAATCTACAAAATGTTACTCTCTTCTTGTCTCAGGACCTCATGTAGACACTATTGTCATATAACCATGGGTAGTCAGAAAGAACAATGGTTTGTGTATGGTGGTGGGGTGGGGGTGGCAAGAGACAAAAAAAAAAAAACAAGAATATTACATTCCTGGAAACATACTATGCACTTAATAACCTAATGAATGCTTGCTGATTCTTTGATGGATTGAGCCAGTATGGGCCAGTGCTTTTACCATGGATTCCTGGCACCTCAGCTATAGCCTATATTCATTATCATGTACAGTCTTTGAGGATAGTATTTATTACTGCTTTTGTATCCTTGGTGCCCATTACATCATAACTGATTAATAAATGCTTATTAAGTAAATGAAGAGTTTTCACCAGCCCCTGTTTATTCCTTACATTTCAGTTCAGTTCAGCATCCTTTTAAGTACTTGCCTTTGTGGTCAGAAGACCAGGGTTTCTGTCCTACCCTTGCTATATACTTTATGTCAGTCACCTTAGGGAAGTCAATTCAACTCTCTGGTTTTTAATTGTACCTTATTAAGTGAAGGGGGGAGGGAATACTTGATATCTAGTGTCCTTTTCTAACTTTAAACCCATAAACATAGCATTGTGCAAATACTCCTCATGTCCCTAGATCATTAATCTAGGAGAGGTTTTATTCTTTACATTTCAATACACAAAAAATCTTCATCAACCTTAGTAATCTTTATGTTTCCAGAAACATCCAACCCAGTGCTTTGTGTAATGGTAAGTTTGCAAAAAAGAAAGAAAGAAAAAAAAGTTAAATGAATTTCTTTTTGACCAGAGTGTAGAATACCCTTCTCATTTAGCAAGCGGTGTGTAGATATGTACATGCCTATATAAGGACTTGTGTTCTCTCTTGGAGAGGAATCAAATATAGTTCATTAAAAGAAGAGAAAAAAATTCTTCACATTTCAGTTCATAGAGTGTATGTTGATGAGTAATTCATTACTTCTTTTCTTAGGGGCAGCCTGCCTGATCTCCAAGTCAATGAGACCTGTGTTATTGTCTAGTTTGTTTCCTCCTTGAAGGTGTCTCAGTCTCCAGCACTCATCAGAGGCTTCTCACCAACTCTACTTCTTTTTCTTTTCATCTCTTCAAATAAATCTAAGAGGAAACCACAAATATGACAATACCCAGAATTTTCTTTTTTTTTTTGGCTTCTATGGTAATGTCTTTTCATGTGTTTTAAGCAGGCTAATTTGCATCTACTCCTTAGATGCCATGATGCCCTTCACTGGGAAGAGAACAGTGTGGTTCTTTCATTGTGCTTTTGGAAGCCAGTAGAAAGTAGTAGGGAAAATAATGACATCTAGTACTGGGGAATGAAGGGGTCAATGTAGATTTAGAAAGGAATATCATTATCCCCATTTCAACATGAAGATCACTTTACTTATAAATATACTAAGTACAAGAAAAAGAGAATAGCTAAAAACTCAGGGGTTAATAGGGGAAATACATGGTTTAATCCATAAAGGCAAATAGAAAAGGATGAAGAATACTAAAAGAAAGCCAATGAATATGAAGGACATCATTCCAAATTTCCCTTAATCTAGGCAGCTACTAAATATGGTGAGAATGATCTGGTTTTTATCTCATGTCCTTTCATACATCTACCCTTCACCTACCAATCCTGGAGCAAAGAGAAGGGAAAGTTAAGCTATGATTTAAATAATCCAGTCCACAAATGAGATGTACAATCTTAACATCGACCATCACCTTAACATTGACCATCAAAGCAGGGACACCTTGTAAGATTTCTCATTGAGATCAATGCCTTCCATATCACAGTTTCATCAAAGATAAAATGGATACAAAGGCTACGGCTCCCTCCTCATGCTATTTTGTAACATCGGGAATCATCAACTGGAAAGTTTCTGAGAATCTACAAGCCCAAATTACTAGCCCAGCAACCATTCCTACCATGTCATACTGGCCAACCCTCCTCCCTTATCAATGTCCAAGTTACCTCTGAGAAAAGAGGTCCCTGTAGGGGCTGCCATGCTGAAGTGCTATGCCATAGCCCTTACTGCTGATACTGTTGCCAATGACGGTCACTGAGCAATCATCATCTGTCAGGGCTGCATATTCCACCACGGCAACATCCCACAGAAATGCATAATTTCCTTTCTTTGCCTGAAAAAAAAACAAACAAAACAAAACAGACATGAAATCATGTAGGACTGGCTATCCAAGTGGGAGAAGTAGCTGTCTGTGTGCTGTAATATGAGGAACACAAGTAGATTCTGCCTAGTGAGGAATATCTTCAACTAGACAACCAAGGTCCTTCCCTTCATAAATGGCCTAACATTTTCTCCATTATATAACCTCCTGGAGTAAGATACTAAATGTAGGACTTTGGATCTACCAGTTCTCATTTAGAAATTAAACCTCTGCTTTCATCAATATAAAGAATATCCTAATGAGGAAAATACTCAGGAATAAAGTCCATGGAAAAGGAAAGAAAAGGAGGGAAGGGGAGTTAATGTCTCCTCTAACTCTTTCCCTTTACCATACCATCTGGAAATGAACACTAAAGCTCTAAAACAATATTAAGATGTTATAAGGACAGTGCTTTTTAAGCCCCAAATCACCATATGAACATAAGCTCTTGTCATTATTATTAACTTTCTTTTGCTACCATTTTACATCTGAGGAAACTGAGGGTTTGAATCTTGGCCACGTTTCATTCTTCTGGTGTGACATTGGGCATTTTATTTAATCTTTCTGATACTCAGTTTCCTTATTTGTAAAATGAGAGGCTTAGATTAAATGATTGCTTTCAGCTCTGAGAGCAAGTAGATGGTGAAGTGGATAGAGTGACATGTCTGGAGTCAGAAAGACACATCTTCTTGAGTTCAAATCTTGCCTCAGATATTACTAGCTGTGTAACCTTAGGCAAGTCACTTAACTCTGTTTCAGTTTCCTCTTCTGTAAAGTAAGCTGGAGAAGGAAGTGCCAAACCAGTCAGCATCTTTGCCAAGAAAACCCCATATGGGATAAAGATTTGGGCATGACTGAAAAATGACTGATAACAACTCAGCTCCAAATCTGTAAACCTATAAAATTATGAATAACTATAAATCATATTTAATCTTAGTAAAAAAAAAAAGAATTATCAACAGGTGAAGCTAGTCTTTTCCCCTCTTTACCTTACTTTCCCTTTTCAAACATTACTTTAGGTGAATCTACTCCTTCTACCAGTCAGTCTAACATCCAGTAAAAGACCTCTCCTATCCTATCAGGAGCTGTCAAAATCATACAATCCCCACAACCCCAGTTATTCCTGCCATTCCCTTTTTCTTATTCTGCTGAGATCAGGTTCTTTGTACTTTCAAAGGTGAGAATTAAACATAAGGTACTCTGATTAACTAACCCATAGCAAAATAATGATAATAGTAATAATAAGAACTAATCACAGGGCTCAGCATAAGGACTGTACCTGTAATTTCTTGATCTAAGGAACTCCCTGATAAGAAAAAAAAATTCCTTCTATCCATAGAGGTTTGCAAATTCTCTGAAGTATACAGTCTTAAGCAGGGGTTCCTGACTCTTAGTTCAAGAAGTCTTGACCCTGCCTGTCATAAGTTTGGCAAGGGAAGGGGGAGGGAGTCTATGAATTTGAAAGGTAAAAATATGTCTTTATTTTCTCTAACCTGTAACTTAAGGGTTTTTTTTCAATTTTAATGAAAACAATGAAATAATATTGAAGATGCAGATCATAGGATTCATTACACTGACAAAGTAGTCCATGGTGTCAATACCTTGTCTAAGACAATTTCCTAGAGCAGTGTGAGATTACATTAAGTGACTTTTGCAGGATTATATAGTCAGTATGTGCCAGGAATGGGATGGATCTTCCTGTCCCTAAGTCTAGCTATCGTTTTTATTATAATATACTGTGATAATAATAATAATAATAATAATAATAATAATAATAATAATAAATAATAATACCACTGGAATTAAAATAAAGAAGCAGTAGGATGATGACTTGTTCCCAGATTATTTCAATCTGAAATTCCAACAAATAGAAAATGAGAACAAAAGCAAGTCACATTTATACATGATTTTACACTTCTCAAATCACTTCCCTCACAACCCTGTTAAGTAGATAGTGTAAGTTACCCCTGTATTCATCTTTACCCTTCCATGCTAACACAGTACCTTTAGATGAATTCAGACCATGTAGTTGGTATAATGTGGCTGAAAAGACATTCTCAAACCACAGATCTACCACGATTGGGAGCATAGGATTTGTCACAGAAAGGGAAAGCCACATGATTTGTAAATAAAGAATTAGGGTTTGAATCTTAAATTTCTTGTGCCGGGTGGCCTCTGAGCTCTGACTTATATCTTAGATTATACAATTCTTTAGATTCAAAGTAGGAATTTGATTCTTGACAAGGATGGAGGCTGTCTTTGGTATTTTGTTTTGTTAGGCCCTTCTAAGGTTTTAAGAGAAATCTTTTTTTGTGTGTTTGACAAATACAGTAAGTCTAGAGAATGGCCTACATAACCCTGGCTAAGTCACTACCCCTTCTGAGTTTCAATTTCTTCATTTATAAGGGGTTGAATTAGATGGCCTATGAAGTCCTTTCTAGTTCAAACCTATTTTTCTATGACCTGACCTGAGACCTAAATTCTTTGATGGTAGGTCCTTGTAACCCACACTTTGCAATAGTGACTAACCCATTACCAGGAATAGATAAGCATTTAGTAACCAGTTCATGGAGATGAGCTTCTGAAAGGATTCAGAGTAAGAATTACCAGGCATCACAAAAAGAGTGTCTTGGCTCAACTGCCATTTTTTTTCTACAAGCACTCATTATTGCTTTTCTATTTTCTTTCCATTTTCAAGGGTAGAATGTAAAGGAGAGAAGAAATAGTGGTGAGAAGAAGGGGCAGGCAGACTCTGAGCTGATTTCTGGGAAGCCCACAGAGATTACTAAAAAGGACAAAAAATTAGTGACCTGATGGAAGTTTCCTTAGAAATGGATGTCTTTAACTACTTGTTCTTCCTTGATTTGCACTAAACAGACATTTTGAAGATTTTTCATCCACATTGTTTCAGGCTGGTATTAACTGATTGAGCTTCTGCCATTACTGCTGGGTACCAATGTTGAGATGCCAGCCATAGTTGGATGCAGGCCACCAGGGAAGAATGAAAGCTACTTAACTTGGCACAATATGAAATAATTTATCTGAATAGAGAAGCGTAAGGTGAAACAGCTTCTTGTCATGGACAGCTTTACTCGAACACAGAGATCATGCAATGGCCAAGAGATGCAAGGCAGATTTTAGCTCAGTATAATCAATCAAGAAAGCAAACAAACAACAAGCATTTATTACATATTTACTATGTTCCAGGCGCAGTGCTAAATGCCATGGGATACAAATATAAAAAGAAAACAATTAAATATTCCCAACAGAGAAGTGAGGGATAAAAAATGCAGAATGAGGCTCATATTTTTGGACATGGCCATTATGGGAATTAGTTTTGCTTGAGTATGCATATTGGCTACTGGGGTTATGTGTTTGTTATTTTCAAGGGTAAGGATGGGAGGAGAAAATAAATGCTTATTATTTGAGAAAACAAAGTAAAATTGAATTAAACTATATATAAAAGCAAAATGGCTATTCACTAGAGATAACAGGTCCCTCATTAGCAGTATTCAATTTAGTACTGGGTGGCAAATTATTAAGATCCTCTGATGTGATTTTTGGTCAGGTACAGATTGGGTTTTGAGATAATAATGAAACTACATAGGACTAGACAGGGTTTCAAAGTCCTTCTTGTTTTTATATTGTTTGATGATGTTAGATTTTAAAAAGAAAAATATTATTTACCATATTTTGTTTGTTTGCTTGTTTCTAATTATTTAAGGGATATATTACTGGGTCTGGTAACTACACTGAGCCTGGCATAACAGATGGATGGTGCAGTGTAATGCAAATACACAGGGCTCCTAGGCATGGGTTAGTACTTTTGAAATATGTCATCAATGTAGGTTTCTTCATCAGGAAACAATGCCCACTAGAGAATTAATTTCCTCTGAGAAATGTCAAGGATCACAACCTTTAATTTGCTGCCCTGGCAAGAATGCTGAGTTTCAAGTTGAAGGATCTGGGTTAAAATTCTTTCAGTTTTTGGGTAACTTACTGAATCTCTGGTGACTTCAGTGTTCTCGTTTGTAAAAATGAGCCCTCTGGAGTAGATGGTCTCCAAGTTTCCTTCTATATTGCTGTTATCTTGCAAGGCATCATTTCATACTGTTTCACCAAATTATCCTGAAGGTCAAAATTGCAATCGATATAAAATGTCAAACCTAATGAACACAGGCCTCTCCTGCTGGTTCATATAGGGGTATGTGAAAATATAAGAAGGAACAAGAAAGCATTGCTAAGTGTAAGAAAGTCTTAGATGAGAGCCTGAAAAACTTTGGGGTAGAGGGAGGATTTTAATTGCTATATATTCAATCCTGTCTCCTCTCTTCAGTCTCTGGACTTTTCCACCTTTTGTCTCACAGCCTCCTTCTTCTGGAGATGGATGTTGCTGTCCTGTGGCCTTCTCTTCAAATTGGTGAGTCTTAGGACCCAGATTTCATGAGGTGCCTGATATAAATTCAATTCAGTCCTTGCTTACGTCTTCACTCTGTGGACTCTGCATCTTCATCAGAAACCTTTCTTATTCCACCTTATGTACTGTCTTCTGTCATTGGAAGGTAAGATCCTTGAGGTTGGAATATTGTTTTTCTTGTATTTGTATTCCCACAACTTATCAGAGGCTTGACATATGTTCAGTGCTGAAGAAATATTCTGCTTATCTCTATCTCTCCACCTGTATCTCTATCACCATCAATGGATCATCTATCCATTATCAATTAAAAATAAGGATTTTCAGAGGCAAAATATATATTTAGCAAGTGAATAGCTGGCTAAAACATTGGTGTCTGAGAACCATGATACCATTATCCGTTAGAACTCTCTTTTGCCTCAAATTATTTTATTTTAACTTATCTCTTTACATGTTATGTTTTCCGGTAGAATATAAACTTATGAAAAACAGGAATTATTTATATCCCCAGCATCTAGCAGAATGCTTTGCCCACAGTAAGTTTCAAATCATCATATGC